GACAAAGACTAACTTGACAGAGGTTAGTGTTAGATAACATATGCTCGATGCACCTAGAATGATAATGGAATATAGGGGTCAAAATTTAGGGTATGACAATGACCATCTGAATCCTCAGATAGTTTATGATTGTGAAACCCACACCTAACCATCACCTTCCAACCAATACCACTTGGTGATGATCTCAACCTAAAAGAACATCTCACTTTCATACTATAAATTCTCTATGAAGATTTACTGCTTTCAAATGTATTTTTCTTTTTACAATTTCCTCCTCTCTCATAACCCATAATCAATTTTTCCTTCCTACCTCGCTGACTATTTGCAATATCAGAACAAATAGTCACAATTATAATACCATGTTGCTTGCCTATATGATACGTGCAGACTAATACTTAAGCTCAACTCTCAAATATTTTTCGTTTACATTACATAAAAAGTATATTATCAATATCATATAAAGCCACAGAAATATTAAATTTAAACTTGTTACATAGAAAACATACTTTTTCTGTGGCGAATAACTGCGTACAATCGCTACACGAATCCGTAAATGACTCTGTCGCCTCCAGACCGCACAAAGAAGACATTTTTTCTAGTTAATAGTATGTTATCAGAAATTTTAGTTACAGGCAAAATTTCCGGTATACCATAAATTTCCAGAAGTTTTTGTTGGTTACCGGAATTTTAACAATTTCTAGTATTGTAACGAAACGTATGTGTAAATCACCGAAACTTTTGAAGAAATTCGGTATAAGATACCATCTATTACAAAATTTTTAGTATTTTGTACTGAATTTTTTCAAATTTCCGGTATAAAAACGTAAATTTTCAAATATACGCAAAATAATGTACCGGAAATTTGAAACGTACTACCGAAAATTTTGAATTCTGAGGTAGATAAAAGTGAAAAATTTGGGAAAATAGTAAAAATTTTAAGTAAATATTATCAAGGGTATTTTGAGAATATTGAAAATTTAGGGGTGTCAGGTTAAATTCTTTAATGTATGAGTTTTTAAAAATAATTCCAATTTTCTTAAATAAAAATAGTAATAATAAGAGTTAATACATATTCTCCTCCTGCCATATAGGCGCTTTTTGAAAAATCCCCCCGCAAAAAAGAAAGCTTGCATGAATTCCCCTAACATTTGAAAAATATCTCTCTTTAAACCTTTGTTAGGACAACTCATTAAAAATGATGATGTGACCATATTTTTTTATTTATTTTTTCATTTAAATTAGTTTCCACACATGTTTAATGAAATGTAGCAGGACGAAAATTCCCTTGACCGAAAAATAAAACCTTGAAACCTTGAGCTTGCAATGTCTTCGTGTTCAATGCATTTTTTCTTCCTTGGGATCTCTAATCCCCTTTCTCCTTCGAATTAGTCCCTTCATCGTCCTTGTTTTGCCGATCAAATCTAGAAAAATGAGAAACTCAGTTTGTTCAAACTTAAGCATGTCTTCAAACGGAAAAATAACTCTGGAATATGGTCATAATATGTCCATGAAGATGTTTGTTTCAAAGTTTATTGCAAATCCTGCCAAAAAGTACTGGAAGTGTAAGTTTTGGGGTAAAGAAGATGATTGTCACTTATTCCATTGGGATGATGAGTTTTTTTGTGTGAAAGAGAAACAAAATACTCAGACGGAGAAGTCGTAGATCTGATGAGTAAAATGGAGAAAGATGTCGCGAAAAAGATGGAAGAAATGAAGAAAAAGGTTGACGGGTTAAGGAAGAAGATGAATTTTGTGATAGTTGTACTTATTGCTACATGTTTTTTATTTCTTCTAGGTTAATGTAACAAATACTAGGTTCATGTTACAGACTAATGTGTACCCATAGCTTGTAATTCCAATCAATGAAATGCTTTGAATTAATGAAATATGTTATTGAAATTGATGTGTTTGTTGTATAAGGTTGTAATGTTTTGCTGTTGAATTAATGAAAGATGGTGTTGAAATTAATATGTTTGTTGTATAAGGTTGTAATGTTTTGCTGTTGAATCAATGAAAGATGCTTTTGAAATGTTACTGTTATATAATTACAACATAATGGCAACCAAAATTGGTGCATATTGTGCATAACAAGAACAGACAACCAAATATTGTGTAAACTCTCATCTAATTGGATTGAAAGTACAACAGAATACAACATATGTTTCATTAGCATTACAACCAACATTAGTAGATACTTAAGTAAGCCTTACAAAAGAAGTTACAAAATGAAACATAATGTGCATAACTAGAGCTGTTACAAAACATGACACATAATATGCATAACAAGAGTTGACTGATAATATCATAACATATTTGTTTTAAGAAAACCAAAATGACAACCTAATTACTGAGTCATTCTCCTTGCAATATCTTCCCAATGTCTTGATCTCTTCACAGAAGGCTCCTCATCAAATACCAATGGTGCATATGAAGTTGAACCAGGCCCATCAATTTTTTTCATTACTCAATATGCTCGGTTGGTGCAGCAACATGTGTGGGATTACATACTTGAGATTGATGTTCTTCAAAGGCTGTCTTCATGTCATCAAGAAGTGCATCTAACTCTGGGTCGTTCATTTCATGGACACTTTCACCAGCATTTTTCTTAGCTTCTCCTTCAGTTTCAGCAGCAGATGAGATGTTTTGATCCTTAGTGTTTTTCTCTGCACACAGTTAAGAAGAATGTTAGAAGAATAATTAAGAAGCATATTAGAAGAATATTTAAGAAGCATGAGTTATTACCTTTCTCTTCAGTGCATTAGGATCCTGTTCTTTTCTATGACACATCCTTGAATTGTGGCTAAATTTGTCACACTTTGTGCATCTATAAGCTACACCATGCCTCCTCATCCTTGACCCACTTTCATCTTGCTCTCTAAAACTAAATTTCTTAGCCTACCTGGACCCTTCTTATATTGAGGTGGCAACATGTTCTCAACATCCACAATAGGCCACATGTCCATACCTTAAACAAACAAACTATCAAATAGTCATGAACAATTTCAACTTTGAAAATCTTAAACAAACAAACTATCAAATAGTCATAACAATATGTACCCTTTGTTGATTTGAGATAAAAAAAACATACTTTCTTTCAACCCCAATATCTTCCATAAGTAACTGCGTAAATCATTTCCAACTATTCTTAGTTTCAGTCTCTACTACACCAAAAGTCAAAGGATAATATTGGTCATTTGGATTCCTTGCCATAACCACCAGTAACCAACCCCCCATATTGTGTCTTAAGGTGGCACCCATCTACTCAAATAAAGGGTTTACATGCCTTAGTAAACCCTTTCTTACAACCATCAAAGAAAAAATAGAATCTCCCAAATCTTGGTGGGAGGTTTGGGAATGACCTCTCAGTGTTAATCTTCATTGTATTCCCATCATAATGCTTCTTCAACTCAGCTGCATAACTCCAAACCATGTTATATTGTTCCTTTGCATCTCCTTCAATAATTTCATCTCCCATGGCTCTAGCTCTCTAAGCCTTCCCTTTGGTTATGCTAACAGAGTATTTCTGCCTTAGTTTAGACATTATCTCAGAAATTTTAACTATTTCTTGGGATTTCCTTTTTTCAACAACTAGCTTAGATACCCCATCCATGTCTTTGATTGGTAGGTGTGTTTGTCACCCACTTTGCTACACAAAGCTAAAAAAACTTATTTACCCTTGCACTCTACCCTAACCTTATAGCTCTCATTCTTAACAAATGTTATCTCTCTTCCATTTAAAACTAACCACTCCCTAATTGCATCTTTAAACTCAGATAAAGAATTAAATTTCATACCTAGTTTGAATTGAAAGTCCTTGTTTAGCAGCTCACCTCTGAACTTCTCATACTTAGGCTTGGGCGTTTTTCATCCTTGTCAATTTCATCAAGGTCTAAGTTATCCAGTTTCTCCCTATCATAGTCCACCTCTCTACTTCCAAAATTATTGGGATTCCTCTGTGAACTAGATCCCAAAACACTTTTAGGAACCAAAACATTCACTTTAGCTCCCTTGCTTAGGGTTTTCATCTTTTTCGGATCTTTCGGTGCCATAATCTTAAATTTAATAGACTTCCCATTTACCTCAACTCTATTCCCATTAACTGGTATTTCTACTTCAACTTCCTCAAATTGTTCCTCCTCTACTTCACATGCTATTTCTTTTTCACTGTCATTGAACCTTACGCCTCCATCATCATCATCATCATCATCAGTGCTATCATCTTCACTGCAATCACTAAACTGATCAATATCATGCTTCAACACCTTACTAATCATGTCTTGAACACCATGTTCTACCTAAATATATGCCTATCAACATCATAACCAATGATGTGATTAGCAATTTCTCCAACTTTTACATCATAAATGATATACGTTAATCCTTCATCCAGTTCTGGAATCTTTCTCCAAGCCTAAATCCTTCACAGCCCCAGTCTTTAACTAAGCTAACAACTTCAAAAAAAAAAATCCACTTATTGAAGTCTTGGCCTTATACAATGGTTTCACTCCCTTCCCTGTAAAACGTGCTCGTCTTGCACAAAGTTTTTCTCCATGGTGAAATATGACATCAAATAACCTCATTTCTGCAATGGAACATTTACCCAGAAATTAAATTTCGCAGACAAAACTACATGTGGGGCCTGATAAAACTTATAAATGCATTAGGACCACTTATAGCACTTCATCCCATTTCCACAATTACACTTTGTTACTCCATTCCCTTCATAGTTACAGGTTAAATTAAATTCAACTTGTTTATTCTAATTATAACAATACTCTTTATGTTTATGATCATCATCATCTTTTGAGTTTTCAATTTAATTCACTTAATTGTGCAGCAATTTTACATCAAATGGCATCTGGTGCTTGCTTCCATACCACAACTTTGGTGAAGGTTCGGGTCTTTGAGAGTGTATTTCTCTTAACGTGTTAGGTTCTAATCCCGCTAGTTAACAATTTTCTTGGGCCAATTATTACCCAAACAAGATATGATGACTTATAATGAAGGTTCATTTTGAAAATTTGATCTTGAAGGATGCTCTTATAGAAGAGATAGATTATGTAAGGGTAGTCACTTTGAACAGACCAAAGCAATTGAATGCTATCTCACCTAATCTGGTAAAGCCCACTCAACTCAACCTTCAAATTTTTTTACTTCTTGTGGTTAATGTCTAAATCTACAACTAGTAGTTTGTTATAATCTAGTGATTTGGCTATGAAGATAATTTACGGGGTTGCCCGGGTTCGGGTTTTCACATTTGCCTTCGGTATGTATGTGTATGGGGCCATTAGGCCAGTCATCTAACATATTTTTGTTAAATCTTTGAATCCTTTCAGGTTTTTCTGCTAGCAAAATGCTTGGAAAATGAGAGAAAGATGAGAAAGCAGAGCTAATCATCATTAAGGTTATAATTTATTTAATTACCCTTTGAAATTGTTGAAATGGCCCTGTTGACAGTTAAGTTCAGAAAGAACCCTTAACAGTTTGATTTCATTTTAGAGAACTGTTGTTAGTTCAGTCCGATTCGGTTTTCATTATTGAATCGAACCATGAACTGATGTGGTTATAACAATTACCTATCAGAATTAAACAATCTACTATCATCTTCTAGTACTGGCCGCTTGCTTTACTAATGCACATTTGACTTATTATTATTAGGGAGCTGGCAGGGCTTTCTGTGCTGGATGGGATTTGAGAGTATTCTATAGTGGCAGGATAACTCGTAAAAGACATATTGATAGATTAGATGCCATCAGCCTGTATCGAACCCCAGACGGTTGTGTAAGTTTCTTTAAAGTGTTCGTAATCAATTGAATATTTATTAATTAAAATATTATTAATGAAATAATTCTCTCTTGCAATATTATCATACTCAAATTATAGGGACTGCAGAAAGGATAAAACAGTTTCATAATAAGTGAAAAACAACTAAGTTGATCTATTAGAATACTCTTTAACCAATGCTGCAAAAAGTGATGCTCTTTCAAGTAAACGTGATGGTTTCTCATATTCCTTTGCCAAACCTGTCAGAAAAATATCTCACAATAATCATTCATTACTAGTACTCCAATCTAAACATATATGCATTTCTTATTAATAGCATAAAGTACATACCAGCGTCTATGACCAAAACCTTGTCACAATCCATAACTGTTGGTATTCTGTGAGCAATGCTAATGATTGTACGATCTGCAAAGTCTTCTCTGATGATCTTTTGTATTACAGCATCGGTTTGTGAATCGACCGATGCTGTTGCTTCATCCATGAATAGTATTTTGCTGCGTTTTAGCATTATCCTTCCCAAACATAGAAGCTGCCTTTGTCCAACACTCCAATTGTCTCCACCATCAACCACTAACAAATATAGTAAATATATTTCAGATCATATTTTCTTATCACATTCAATTCAACTATTCGAAAATGAGTTTAAGAAGATGAGTGTATATGATCACCTAAAGCCTCAAGTTTCTCGGGCTTTGCAGCCACCACTTCTTTCAATCGACACCGCTCAAGACTCTGCAGCAACACAAATAAACATTATGTTATTAGTTATGAGAACCTAAAATTATTAATTGATGTTCCCTCATACATGAAATATATAAATTTACCTTCCAAATTTCATCCTCAGAATACAATCCAAGAGGGTCAATGTTGGTTCTAACTGTTCCTTGAAAGAGGACAGGATCTTGTGGAATAATTCCAAAACGTGACCTCAAATCATGAAGGCCAACATCGGAAATGTTGATACCATCAATGATTATATTCCCAGCGGAAGGCTCAATCAACCTAAATAAAACTTGGATGAGTGTTGATTTTCCACTTCCTGTACGGCCAACAATGCCAACTTTTTCTCCACCTTGAATGGTTAGAGAGACTCCCTTAAGAACTAGAGGAGTATTTGGCCTGTACCTAACCTGCTCACACCATTTCATATATTAAATTGTTTAATCTTGCAAACAATATATATCTACTTGCCCATTGCGTTTACAATATATATACCTGTAAGTTATTTAACTCTATAGTTCCATGACTAGGCCAATTCTGAGGAAGAGACTTGTCAGCTATTTTCCATGGAGCTTCTGATGGGAGGTTAGTAAACTGCTTAATCCTTTCAACAGAAACCATTTTGTTCTCAACATTGCAACTCATAGTTATGGCAAATGACAAAAGACCACTCAGAGACAGGCCATAGGATAGAGACATACCAACATATTCTGCAAAATTGTATTCTGTCAGGAAACCCTCGGCGATAAGATAACTTATCAAAACAACTTATAGTTCATATGAAAATAGTTTGACTTTATTTTTTGTTTTGCTATAGAAATATTTTATACATTATACTACAAACACTTTTATAATAAACACTTATACTATAAGCGCTTAATTAAGATGTTTAACCAAACAAAACCTTAGTTCTTGTTTATAATGTGTGAAATAGGCTTTTTAAAATAGTCCACAACTGGGATCTTTTGTACCAGGGCATTGAGATTTTTTAAATATCTCTATGCTGCATTGGCTGAATTAGGCTGCGAGTCTCAACAATATCAAGAACCAACCGAAACCATTGCCACAGCGGCATTTTAAGAATTCGGCGTGAAATAGATTGACTATGATGGTTGTTGTTAAATGAAAAGATGATGAAAGGGATTCTACCTGGCTTAATAATAGAACTTGGCAAGAAGATCATAAAAAAGGTGGCAATGCAAAGGAAAACCACTCCCATATAGTCCAAGCGAAAACCAAGCCATTCATTTGCACCATTGTTATAGAAATCCATTCTTAGACTTGCATTCACCCTCTCAATATTTTCATCACAAAATTCATTCTGCTTTCTTAAGCTACGGATTGTCATAACACCAGAAAGGGTCTCTGAAAAGTGATGAATCACCGGAGCTTTTGTGATTGAATCAAGACGAGTCAATTCCCTAGATGTTGCAAGATAATATTTCTGCAAACCAAAACAACATAATAATCAAAATAGGACCAAGTTGCAAGATAACATTACTCTATAGGAGTAGGTATATCATACCCTATGCCAGTTGTAGAGCCAGACCAGTGGAATTACGAGAAAGACAGTCTCCCAAGAGTTCTGGCATGTGACAATGAGGATACTGAATAATGATAAGTATGCTATCATTACAAAGTTTGTAAACATTGGAATTGTTATATCCACCCAAAGTATATCAGTAGATACCTAAACAATTCATAACAAGAGTAGATAGAGTTAGCAAATTCAAACACTACTAAAGCATAAACCAAACATTAAAAGGGATGTTGAATGAAACTCACACGACTCAAGATTCTGCCAGAAGGAGTGGTATCAAAGAATGACATTGGTGCATGAAGGATACTTTGAAGCATTTCAATGAAGAAGCTTTGAGATGTCTTCAAACCCAAATACGTATACATGAAAGCTCTTCCTATAAGAACTATGCATGCAACAACAGCTATAGCAGCATAGACGAAAATGAAAGTAAAAGAAGAAATGCCAGAACCATCTGAAGTTGCAATTACTAACCAATAGTCACCAGCTAAAAATGACAACACCCAACCAGCTGACATTGCTACTACAAGTGCTATTCCCCACCATCCAAATGCTTCTGTAAAATATTGTTTGTATACTTTAAGGCTCACATGTCCAGTTTCTCTTCCCTCGTGTTCAATAAGCTTTGCTGCAGTTTTATCATCAAACTTAGATTGATCTTGAGAGGACTGCTTTTCAACCCCGCTTTCTTTTTCTTTTGATGCGATGCGGGCGAGCTTTGGAGACTGAGAAGAATCCTCATTGGAATTATCACTTGTTTCTACTATTTCCATAGAGGATTCATGAGCTGCCACAAGTGCACCAAAATCTAGGCCTGCTTTGAGAAGTTCTTCATACATTCCACTTTGCACTACTCTTCCTTCACGCATCACCTTCAAAGATTGTATCAAAATATATTGGTAAGATAACTTGGGAGATATTGAATTAAACCATCATATACAGAAAAACTCAAAATATCTTAGGGACTTGTGAGCATATATATACCATTATAGAGTCAACATTATGCAAGAAATCAACTTGGTGGGTTACAAGTAAAACAGTCTTATCTTTGAGACTTCCCATGATACATTCCTGCAAAAAGATGGAGAATCATTTGTGAATAGTATTAGAAATTTAAAATGAAAATTCATTTATAATGGAAACCGATATCATCTTGATTGATATTATAATGTATTGTTTACAATCTGAAATTTTAGCTTTGTGCTTACCTTAAAAATAAAAGAACCTGTTTGAGCATCAACAGCACTGAAAACATCATCAAGGAGGTAGATGTCAGTGTCCTGATATACAGCTCTAGCAAGCTGTATGCGTTGTTTCTGACCGCCGCTGAGGTTTATTCCGCGCTCTCCAATCTCAGTCTCATCACCATATTCCATAATTTCAAGATCCTTCTCAAGACAGCACACTCTTAAAGCTTCTCGGTACTTGTCCATGTTCATTGGTAAACCAAACAATATGTTTTCTTTGATGGTTGCATTCTGAATCCATGATGTTTGTGCTACATACGCTGTCGTCCCACAAACTCTTACCTGTAAGATTTTATAAGTAATAATGACAAATGTTAAAGAGAAAAGTAAATTTTCACAGAACAACATTCACATATCAATAGTATACTTTGCATTAATTTGAAAAGCACAGTCATGAATTCTTGTAACAATAGTATTACACATAGAAGAAGAAGCAAATAACTTGAAGTGCAAAAAACATAAAGAAACTAGAAGAGTCAAAAGCAAGCATATGTACCTTTCCTGAGATCTTGAACATTTCTCCCAACAAAGAAGCCAATAATGAAGACTTGCCTGAACCAACAGTTCCTACAACAGCAGCATGGTTCCCTTTCTTAATTACCAACTCTTCGACTCTCAAAGCATCATTCTCATCGTTATCATCCCACGAGAATTTCCCATCTTTTATCTCCATAGCTACATCATCGTCACAATTCTCCTCTTTTTGCACTGCATTCTCATCCATTTCCTTGCTCATCATGAACTCATCTAACCTCCCTAAAGATATTATTGCTTGAGAAAACGTCATAAGAGCCTGAGGAAAAGTCCTCAAAGGCTCTTGAAGTATCTTGATAATCGAAATTATTGGGAAAACAGTGCCAGGATTCAAAGGAGTTCCAATGAAAGTTGCAGTTCCAAAGGTAAGAACAGTTACAATTAATGTTGCAGCAGACAATACTCCAAAGTTAACAGCAAAATTGTACAGGAATTTCCCAATCCATCCATGCTCGGCTTCACGAAACTCTTGAATTTTGTTACCGAAATACTCTTCCCACGCTTGAAACTTAATCACACGCATATTGTTAAGCAACTCATTCGTCGCCTTCAGTCTCAAATCACGGCT